AATTGAGTTGTATCCGGAAACGAAATAAAATATTTCCGCCTGTTAAATTAATAAATTTGTTTGAGGAGCGGATTTTATCAAGAACTACCGGGCATTTAGTCGTCTCAAATGTCTTTAGCGAGGAGAAACAATTATTCGTCGGAGATGCTGAAAAAGTCCAGGAGCCCGGCTAATCCTTTTCAATCTTTCACCGTTGTTAAAAAATGATAAGACCCCTGACATTTCGAAATCTGCACTAGGTTAAGAATAGTAATCCCATAACCATCGCTCTCGCCACCAGCGAGTTCCCCGAAAAGTTTACCACTCTTTCCCACAATATTATCTCCCTGCGCAATGATTTTTTACTCTCACCAATCATCCAATTGTAAATGCCCCCTAATATACAATTAACCCGCGTAATTGGTGTGTTGCTGATATATTTTTCCCCATCTGGGTACGGCATGAGCGTTGAGGCGGAACGTTATGGGAATGAAAATATAATAATTAAAACCAATCGTAATTCTCCCATAGGGAGATGTACGAAAAAAAAAGCATTAGACCGAATGAAAAAGATGGCAGCCTGCATAAATGATTCGAAGACCAGAGTGTATGCTAATTCCTGTTCAAACATCAGTTTCCTGATTAGCTGTATCAAGACTCAACCCGCCCACTGTCGATTCTTTCCACCCCGTAATGGCAGAGCACAAGAAATAAAGAAAGTTATGGTTTACTTTATTCATACATGCATAATTGAAACCAGTACACAGCACTGAGTTCATCTGTACTCCCGGTTTTCTCCTGTTTTTACCTCTCGTGGTTTATTCTTTTTTTTTCACTGGCGCTGCAGTCACGCAAAAAAATTGTTAAGGGAAAATAAATAAAAGGTAAATAAAAAAATGGCAACTGTGTTACATCGACGAGTACCCCTAATACGTGTCCCTGCTATACACAATAAATACAAAACAAAACGAAACACGCAACAGATAGTGGTGGCACACGGCCAGTTACCAATACATCGACCTCATCGAATATCTGTATTAATCCCGTCCCCCTCTTTTTTGGGGGCAGGAAGGCAGGGAATTCGTAGATAAATATTTGGAAAAAATAGATATTTTAAACGTGGACGCTCAATATTTTTAACACTCATAAAGTTACGTGGAATTTCTTTGAAAATAATTATAAAGAAAAAATAAGAATTTGTCATCGACGAGTTCATTAATTTCTTGAGGATTTTCTATTATTGGAAAATCTTCATCAGGAATTTTATCATTTTATTATGTTATTTTCTAACGAATTTTAAATTGTAAAATTCCCTGAAATTCCAGCGGGGCTGCGGCACGATGAGAATTCCCGGTATTCGGCGCGGAAAATTCAAACGAAAAGGATGATGTAAATAGGTAAATTAGGGGATTATCTCGATTTTAGGAGAGTGCGGAGGGTTTAAGTAATAGAGTTATACTCCTGAGTCAATAAGGATTAAGTCATAGTTGTTTGATCTGAAGGAGATGGACTTGGTGATGATGTGGGATTAGTCTGAATATGGATGACGGGAATCTATGTTAAATTATACAGATATTCCAAGAGAAATGGGAAACGATCATTGCGCAAAATTAAACATTCGCCACTTCCGAAAAATCTCAGTTTGCGTTCTGAATTCAGATCCTTAATACATGTATAAAAAAAACAGTTTAATTTACACGGAAATACGAAAAACCCGGTTCGTAATAAGTGAGTCAAATTCGTGGTCCGTCAATTTCCACGGAACATTTACGATAAAAATTACGGAACTCTACCGCATGTTCTACAGACATTGACAGAACGTGATTTTTAAATGTGGAGTGATTTAATTACTTTGTGAAATTAAGAAAATAATTAATTAATTAAGTAGTAATACTTGCACACACCCGGTGTCTTGCAGTATATCGACGCGAGAAATAATTGATGGAAATTAATATTTGCAGTTATTCGATTTCCGAAATTCTGAGACATCGCTTTCCCATAATAATCCAAAATAGAATATTTTGCGTCTGAAATCTACCTCGAAGCCGTAGAATTCCTCTCGCATGCTTTTCCCCCACATATTTGCATTTCACATTGACAACGACACACCCTGATAGAATATTCCACCGAAAATCCTATGACATCGCAAATTTCATCAATCCACGTACCAGCATTGAATTTATATTTACTTATTTCAAATCGATTCACAAACTCCCACCGCCGAAAAACAAAACACTTTCTCAATTCTTCAAATTCAACGATTCCAGATCAGAATAATAAATCCTACGTAATATTCTCAAGTGCTGTAAAGTGTGCTAAACCGGAATGAACCTAAATTTTTTTCGCAGACGAGCCTCATAAAAAATTTCACCTTCATTCCCTCAATTCCCTCCATTTCCCCAATAATTTTATCCCCCAGAACTCTCCAAAATGCAGACTTATCACTTTCCATTGGGTTTAATCACCCGATGGGGTTTTCCACTCGCGAAAAATGGCGAAAAAAATAATCTGCAAAAAAGTGTTTTTTCGTGGTAAAGTTAATGATTTTAGAATAATTGATAATGCCATTCAATATCCATTGAATAGGTATTAATATTATGATCATCAGAGTTATTATTATGAACGGGATTATCGATATAATTCATCCCTAATGAGTCAATTAAAATACGAATAATTCAAACAATGAATTTCGCAATTTTTAATCAATCATAAATTGAATTATATTATAGATATTCAATTTCGCTACAATTCCCTCAAAATTTTTCCCAGAACTTTCCAAAACGCAGACTTATCACTTTCTATTGGCCGTAATCACCCGTCAGGTATTTCCACTCTCAAAAAACGAGAAAAAAAATCAACCCACAGAAAACAAAAAAAAAAGCGGAGAAATCCGTTAGGGCAAGGGGTGGAGGTTAGAAAAACGGGAACTTTTCGAATAAACTACGTTACCAAAAAGTTTAACCGAGTACGATCTGAGAAGAAGGAGAAGAGTCTTATCGTTGGATACACACTCCCCATTTTTTTCGCCTTACCGAGGCATATGTATCTATATCGCTCCTCGTTCGGAAACTTCCGGATCATTAATTTACATTAGGACATTTTTCAAGAGCCACCGGATCACTTCTTTCTTGGCGGGGAGAGGATCTTGCTTACCATCCGTAACTACCATCTCCTTTCCACCCCTTTCCACCTCACCCCACCCGAAGAAGGCAACCCGGTAGTCCAACTTCAACCGTATTTTTTTTACAACTTCCCCCACCCACCCTTTTACGCGTTTTTTTTATACTTTCTCATGGTTCCGTCCTGCTGCAACTCTTCCCAGGGGGTGAGATGGAGTGTACTAGAAAGGGGTGGGAGTAAGGAGTGAAGGACACGACGAGGAGAGGGAGATTTGAAAGAGGGCATGAGGTAGTGCGGTAGAAGCGGAAAAGGAATTGGATTTCCCTCGGCGATCCGAAAACGTTCCCTCGATTTACTTGCTTTTAGCACATCCTCCTCTAAATTTCATGAGAACAAATAAAAACTCAAGAAAAAAAAATGAGAGGGAAAAAACCAGACACGAGAGAGTAAAAATAATACAGACATGTCTATATATCTGAAAAACCAATTTACGTACAACTTGGCAGTCAGTAAGTGGTTTATTCGATTTTACCCCCCGCCACGTTCAGTTTGACTAAAAACTTGTAACTCTTTTATTCCATTTTAAAAACTATTAAACCAATCTGCATGATAAGTTATTGCATCCGATGGGTGAAAAAAAAAAATGTCAGTGCGAATCAGCGGAGAATTTTTTTTCACCATTGTGTTATAGAACGAAATAAAAATAGAATGACCAAAGCTGTATACAGCCTGCGGTGATTTTTCATCCCCTATTTCGAACACGTCGCCAGAGCCAGAAAGACGAAACTTTGAACTGCACCACATTGGCCTCAACCACCCACCCACCCCAATCCTCCCCCTTTCTGTTACCCTCACACCCATTCTCCCTGGGAAAAAACTAACTTCTTCAACTGGCTGGAACTAACGAATCGTGCCTGAAAAGTTGCCCCACTCGAAATGGCCGAAGCATCGAAATACGTGAAAAGGCCTCCCCCCACCCACCCATTACTTCACCCCCTATACTTCACTCCGTTGCTATCTCTCGTGTGTCCCTTTGGGAGGTACCACGACCACTTGTTGGATAATTTCATCCCCAGTGCTGTTTCGATTAAATTATCGTCGTGAGCAGAATTCACCGGGCGGCAGAGTTCAATGAGCTTATAAAAGTTACCACGGCTCGTATACCTTGACATGGCCAATTACAATTTACAGAGTTACGCAATGCAGTTTTTTCTCCCCTTTCCTCCTGTTCCACCCCCTCCTCCTCCTCCCACCTCCCTCTTACGTCTTCCAATGGAGGAGAAATGCTTCATTTTTTCTTACTCCTGTTTATTTATATGTCTATGTTATTTCACTGTGGCATCCGACTTTACGATCCTTTTGTCCGGCCCATAACTAGAATTAACTTCAGGTGAGAGTAATGATTCGTGGATCGCTTGTTATTAGAGTTGGAATGGCGTTAGAGTCAATGTTCGGTTGTTGTTCTTTATTCTAGTGTTCTGTGGTCAATGGAACTGCTGGAGTACTATTGCGTGATCAGTAATTAGGGGATACTCGAGGATAGAACTGGCGTTTGTCTTGGGAAGAGTCATTGGTTAACGATTTATCTATTTTGGGATGTTCAGGGTGAATCACCGGTGTTAATGGAACTTTCTCCGACAAAAAGTTCAAGAGGAAACTTTTCTCAAAATGCAGAAGCCATAATCCAAAAATTAGAATTAAGATATATTTTTTTTCCCGGAATGATATCCTAAATATATCTAAGTCACATTTTGAATATATCTTCAGTGCCAGAGGTGAGATATATCTGCACAGATATATCCAAAATATATCTTAGATATATCTCACCCCATGTGAGATGACTTATTTTTCTCGCCGCAATGTACTTTGTAATCACAACTTAATATTGTTGTTGTTTACAGCACACCCTGACAGGGCACTGCGCTAAAGTACTGGCAGCAAAGTTCCTGGGTGAACCGTCGAAGGTGGTGACCGGTAGTCACGATCGAACACTCAAGATCTGGGATCTGCGCAGTCGTGCATGTAAGTACATGCATCACAAATACACACCTACTAACTTAGTGTCATTAAGTATTTTATATCTATCAACGTTCTCCTTCCTATCAGGATTGCGTTTTATTCAGCTTTACATAATTTTTTTTTCCCCGTTTTTTAAATTTCCATTAAAAGCTCCATCAGAAGGACAAATACTGGCGCCCATGGCATTCTCTTCGCACCCACGTTTGTAAACGAGCAGTGGACCTATCTCGGGTACATCGTAAACCCCTCTCTTGCTCTCGTCGTCCTATAGACCAGGGCGCGAAATATTATAGGTGCCACGGTAATCGCGTTCCCCTATTACCCCCTATTAGTCGTTGCATTATGCAACGCACTTATACGAGGCGTTTCGAGATAATAAAACAAACTCCATTTCACTACCACCAGTCCACTATTATATATATGATGAGTCATTTTCATATCGCAGACTTTAGCGAAATGACCGTGCTCGGGAGGAATGAATATATTCCAGATAATTGATATTCAAAAAATAAGAAAATATATTTGCCGATATTGGCGGATAGGTTTCGTCTTACGGGTCTTACCCTTAAAATTTATTACCGTTTGAAATATTTTTAATTTTCAAAATTTTTCCGCTCTCCCCGCCAAAAAAATTTGTTCAATTCCCAAAATTTCGCGATTTTTTGAATTTTTAAAATTGGATCTCATCTCTCGTTTCCCCCGAAAATCATTCCTTATGAAACAGCAGTATACTATCGTACTTTAGTTAAAGTGAACCGAGTGAAATATCCCCCGACTATATCCCAAATTTTGTGAATGTAATATCGGAAAAATAAGGGGTGAGTAGGTAATGCAGAATCGTGTGCCAGAGGAGGTCCACGAGGATGGGAATTGAGTGAGGATAGGGTATGGGGGTATAATGCTGGGTGCGCACACTTTTATCCTTTATTTGAGAGAGGAAATCCGGCTCGGAATTTACACCCTGGTCGTTCGGACCCTGGCTAATCTCGTGAAACGGTATCCGAAGAGCGACTCGAGATATCGATTTGCACTTTGGACAACGGCCCGAGTGTGGGAGTTTGGGAGGGCCTGAAGCAGACGAACAGTCGTCGCAACAGGGGATGAGAAACAGAGAGAGGAATTCACTGAGGGAGATACCCAAATACATTCGCACGCTGTTGGGGATTTGCTATTGACACAGGATACTATTATACATAGGTTTCCAGTCCCGAGTGAGCCAATAAGAGAGTCTGGGATGATATTAATTTGCCAATCCTCTCCACTGCTTTTCCTCCCTGTCTCCTATACGGAGGTGTGAGAGGTTTGCCTTTATTATAGATTTCTCTATTTCTGTGATCAATCGGAATATTGAAAAGAACTCGCTGAAGAATTCTCTTGACGTCAAGTAATGAATTCTCTATCTTTTTTCCATTTTCCTGCATTAACTGCATATACGATAATATATTTTATAATATGTATATTATTATATCATATATATCGTTTAAGATATATTTTTCCATGGGCGAATTAATATATCAAATTGTTATCAATGTAAAATAAATTTCACTGGTATCACCTACTGAATCTTTTGTTTCTGTAACCAAAGAGATTCGAGGAGGAAATTTGTTATTGACACAGGATAATATAACACGTAGATATTAGTTAGATATCCATTGCTTTTCTCCAGTATACACCGAAGTGGAAGTGAGAGTAACTGAGGAGAGGAGAAGATAAACGAGATGGGATTCGACTGGTGGAGGCACCACTTTACGCAAGCTTCTCGGGCTTTGCATTACTTCTCTAATGCGCCTTCGTTCATTGACTTTACCCTTATGTACTAACTCGAAAATTTACCTTGAGCGCAGTTTGACTTGTTCGTAGTCACTACCAACCCCTTCTATAGGAGTTATACGACATTCCCCTCCTGAAAGTGCGCTTTCACAAGTTGCCGGTTGGTACATCTAATTTCCGTCCACAAGTGGTGAAATCTACGAAGCAGTTCACTTCGTACTGCACCTTTACCCACCCTTTCTTGTAAGAGTATTGCCCTCTCCCCCCTCGCCACTCAAGAATTCACTTAATATTACATGATCAATTCACTGGAGCTTTTTCTTTCAACTATCGTATGCAAATTCGGTGGAATTAATAATAATTCATTGTTGATTGTGGGCATTCATTGCGTCTCGACTCGGTAATTATTACAGAATAATTGTGGTAATTTCATGAGCATTTGTCGCACAATTACCGGGAACTCGTTAACGTTGACCGAATATTTCTATCAATGCACGCCCTTCCGTCGCACTTTCTCTGCATCCCGGGGTGCTGGAGATAAGGATAACCCTCCCTCGGGGGTTATCCTGTGGGAGGGTGAAAAAAATGAAATGTAAGGGTGAAATAAAAATGGCAAAACGTAAAGCTCGGAGGGGGCAGTTGGAGCTTAACGGCACTATCTCCCACGGCGCCCCGCGGCTGCTAAATTCATTTTACGACGTGTCGTAATTCGCATTTTCGGTTCATACCGAGTCTAGCCAATTCGCCTGTCCAAGAGGAATTATACGGGAAATCAGCGTGATTAATTGGATTTTACGGGGGTAATTACCTTCACTAGTCATTGGTGAATGGCACTCTGCCGATATTTTCGAGAGTTATTCTGCGGATCGCGATGGAAAATCCGAGGTGGACACCTCCACGAGAATATTTTCAATGGTTTTCATGTCGTGATTTTAATTGGAAGGAATTTCAATTATTTGGGGAGTACGAATGAAATCTATTGTTTGGAAGACACGGAAATTTTGTGGGATTGAGGGAAACAAACTCGGGAGAATTTCACCAGATGAGAATGAGAATTCTTCGTCCCATTAAAGTTTTGTAATCAGCATGAATATTTGCCATTCAATTAAAAATAAATTAATTCATATTTTTCATCAAGATTTGTTATTAATTAATGAAAATTTCTCTGAAATTCGAGTTCGTCAATAGAAATGTCCTGAAAATACCCGACGGAATTCTAGAATTGAAATATTCCACAAAAAATTGTTTCTCCACTTTGTTTGAGAATAAACACGAATCCATCTCGCTATCAAATATTCATCAAGAGGCAGCTAACAATTTTCATTTGGTTATAAAAATATAGTAATAATATGTGAGGAGAGGTACTCGGGGGATTATCGTGAAAGCACCCCTTGAGCCGAGAGTTTTAACTCGCAGGCATAATTTCTCCATTTCTTGGTATATAAAAGCCGAGAGGAAAAGGGGACGAGAGAGGGTGAAAGAGGTATTCATCTCTTTCTCATCACGGTTATTTTATATTTTTCGCTATTCTCGGGAGCCCCGGAGGTACCTAAAATCGCTCCATCCGGGGACTGAGATCCTATGGACTTGGAACTATTTTCCATCGTGGCCTTGAAGGTATGAGGCACTAACGACGAGATACGCCTTCACTGGGCGTCGCACTCCCATTAGAAATTTTCTTGCTAACCGCCCGTAAGAACATGAGGGGAACGAAATAAATTGTAAAATTGTATTGATGGGAGGGATTTGTCTGGAAACATGATGCTCCACCATGAAATATCTCGGGGATGAGTCATTTCGCAATGGAGATGATCAATTAATCTTCAGTCGTTTGAAAGCTCTGATTTTACGAATATTCGTACAGCTAGTTATTATCTCTCATTTACCCAGCAATTCGGTTTACCCATGCGTTTTTCGGTGACTGATTATTCGTTAACCAAAATTAGATTTCTATCGGATTTACTTTGTTTAGCAGGCGGGGAAATTATAATTCCGCGAATAGCTTCAATGATTGGTGATCGAATTGGAAGATTCATTGATTACTCGGGCACAGAAAACGGTAATTTTATTTTAGGCTCAGGATAAATTGGGACTTTGAATCGAATTTCGGCCGAAAAGTCTTTTAAAATCTTTAGAATTAACATGAAGTGCAGATTTTTTTGCAAAACAACAAAAAATTGTAATTGATATGAAAAAAATGATAATCTTGATTGCAATGTCAGGCTGCATTAACATTGTTTTTCGTGAAAAAAATATGTGAAGATGCAAGGAGCAGTTTTTTTGCAGTATCTTCCTACGTTTATCCCGGAAACTATAACGAAAGCTCTCCATAAAACGAAACGAGTAATTTCGACGATCGCCCGAATGCTGCAAAGTAAATCCCCTTCTCGTTTCATTAAATCCCCGAAAATCTTCATATCCTCCACAACTCGACATACATAGCCCCCAACTTTTTATCACCAACTGAAAAATAAATTAATAAACCCATCTTTTACGATATCCACCACGTGCTACGTCACCGCAGATTAATCTCCCAGTTATTCGACTGACACGGGATGTATGCAATTTAATCGAGCGAAGTACTTTGCACACACCAGAAGATTAAAGCCTCCCATAACCCATATCTCACCCTAGAAATGATGTAAATGTTAAATTTAATTTCTGACCCAGTTTATAATCCCGAAAATGATACAATAGAGATGTACCAACGGAGAAGAGAATACCGGGAGAGAAATATCCACGAAAAATTATTGGACTCTTATCAATAAATGTGGGATATTTTGCCCTGAATTGATGAAAAATCATGTGAAAAAATATTTTAATAGATAACCGAGTGCTCCAATCTTACTGGCCCATCTGGTAATTTTTCTGCCGATTGTCGTGCGAATTTTATATAAAAATTTCTCTCCGTGTAACTCGTATAAGCACATTTTTTTCAGCCGGTGTGGACTAACTGAAGTTTGAAAAGCGATTTCAAATAAATCTCACTATTCATTGTATCCATAATACAGTTTGAGGGTAACAGAAAATCGCTGAAGTCCCGTAACCACCCGACCTCGTACAATCAATTCACGTGAATATATTCACCACGTGAATTTGATCGCAAAACCTGTGCGGGTGAGGTAGTGAAAAAATGAAGGGGAAAAAAAGTCGCGAAATCGAAATTGGTACCATGTTGTAGATTCCATGGGCACGTGGTTGTATTGTGAGGTTGTCTCCCTTTCTGGAAGGTACATCGCGGTGAGATGGCACGTTGGGAAGGTGGGCGTAAGCGGAAACCCCGTTATTTATCGAGTTTATAGTCTTTGCCCTAACGTTAGCTACATTTCCGCAGGCGTTGCGGTTTTCCAAGGTTTCTTGGAAACCTGAGAGCGGTTTATACTCGGTTCCCTGACCGCCACCCCCTGTTTTCCCTCCCCCTGGGACTTGTTTTTCAAAGTCAATGACTAATGTCAAAGAGTTAAACTCGCCTTCGAAAGGACATTAAATTTTAAACGTTAACGGATTTTCAAGTTGCCCGGAAATGCCACGATTTTTTATGGAAATAATTGGTACGGTTTCTGTTGTTTTTTAATTTGGATATCTGTAAATTCCTTATGTTGCTTCCGGGTATTTTACGGTTAACTGTATTAAGCTGCTGAAAAACCAAAGAACTCATTCAATTTTCAAGTACATTTGTCAACGAGTGGGAAATTTCGCTCCTCGAGGCTATGAGTTTATTGACATCGATAGGTAATAACTATTTTATTGTGTACCCAAACCCTTTGACATGAGAGAAACCCAAACTTGCAATAATGGAACAATTATATTAATTCGACGAATTTCATTCCCTAATTATATAAATTTCGGATAATTCTTCCCTCAAAGTAAATTTTAATTTGTTTGTCTAGAATAAAAATCAAATGATTGTTTTTTTCCTTCGTTCAAACATTTTCATTTTTGTTGCAGGTATTGAAACGAAATTTGCCGGATCGAGTTGCAATGACCTCGTCACCTCCGATGGTGCAGGATCTACTATTATAAGTGGCCATTTTGATAAAAGGATAAGGTTCTGGGACACTAGGTCCGAGTCAAGCTGCAACGATATTGTATTACAAGGAAAAGTCACTTCACTCGATTTATCGAGAGGTGAGCGGATCTTCTCAATTTCAAGGGATTTGTTAATGTGTTGAAAGTTCAACACGAATAAAATACAACTACGGTGGGAACAGGAAATATTTGGAATTGAATTATTGCAATGACCGATGGTTTTTTTAAATTTTCTGCGAAGATGCTTTTAAGGGGCACAATAGCGTTAAATCAGTCGAGCAGAAAATTATTTTTATTCTCATTTTAATCGTGACCGATCGAAATTTATCTTCTCCATTTCACGTTTTACGGAACCGAAACTAATTAGTATTTAGTCATCAAGAACGCGGAATTACTGTTTTTTTTTATTCGTTTTATTAAATAGTCTATAGGCAGTTGGATTTAATCCGTTGAATTTTTCTTCATATTTGAATTGGAATTTTCAAGGATTGCGCCATTGAAAATTAAATTTCATTGATTAATTTCTGAATAATAAACAGAGAAAAAACCGCGAATATTTTCGTTTAATTCAACGTTCTGAATAATTCAGAATACAAAATTCCGAATTTCACACAATTTTCAGTGAAACATGACATTTTATGATTTTGTTCTTTTAAAAATTAAAATGTCATTTTTATACCGCCGACCATTTTTTCCGGGAAAGTATCAGATTTTTATGAGAAGTAAAGATGTCTTTTTTTATGAGTGGTATCCCCCAAAAATTCCATAACTTCCAGATATTTTCAAAAATAAAAAGAATATCGACAGAAAGAATTTTATACTCCCATATCTGTCCACATAATAATTAAATTACAGGAGTATCAAAAATTTGACAATTTCTCAAAGACCCAACCAAAGAACTTATTTCTTCTGATTTTTTGGTACCTCCATGAATATGTACTTGTCATTATTCTTTTTATTTTCTCTTCACTCCGACTAAAAAATTTTCATCACAGAGTCTATTGAAAAATGTTGACTGTCGAAAATTAAATTTTGTTGCCCAAGTGTGGGTAGAGCTTTCGGTTGAGGTGAAACAATATATCCAGCTGAATGGCACAAAGGAAATATGACATATTGACGTTTAACCTTTATCGTCAGGTTGAATGTAGGCGATCGTTGTTGAACACGAAACAGATGACTTTTGGACTTATGCCAGACGTAAAGTAGATGAGCACTGGGTACAATGAGCATTAATTAAATTCACGTTCCTAGCTATTAACGTTGGGGTGGAAATTGACATTTCATTTGGTTCGTCCAAAAATAGATTTACCCCCCGCGAGAGAAAAAGTTACTTCAGCTATGAATTATTTCTGGCTATCTCCAATAAAATGAATTACAATCCTGTCGAGCTATTTGGAAGAGTATTAGAATCCAATGGCTTACTTCTTCCAGATATAGAGACCCGAAAAAAAAAGGCAATTTATGTTCCACCGTCTAGCAATATGTGTTGACAAATCCCCCAAACGGATTTCTACTCTTTTTTATCCGTCTGCTTTTTTTTCGTTATTTTCAAAGTGTAATTACGGGGGGATATTGCACAAAAGCCCGTCGTATTCCCTTCGAGTCCATTTAGGATTGCCTTTCCAGTGGCTTGATTGAAGAGGCTGATTTCAAACGTGAGATATCGCTTGCTTCAGCATCTTCAATGTGTATTTTCAACGTTTTGTCTACCAGAGAAAATCGAAAATATTCGGAACTGCGCAAAGACAATAATCCCCTGTCTCTTTGATACATTAGTAAAACTTGACGTGGACACGTCTCCGGGGCAGTTTCCCCAATCGATTTTACGCAGTTAAAGTGAAATTTTGTAATTATTGAACAGTATTATTGCTCACAGTTCTCCTGCTTTGCTCTTCTCCTTTCCTTTGTACAGCCGCAGATCCGTTCTGTGTGGATGAATTTTCATACACTATTCACTGAGGGATATCACTTCGCACCATGGACAGACACCGTTAATATATTAGAGCATAAAACTGAACGAACGAAATTGAGATTTGTTAGTTATTGAATAGTATTATTTCACAAGATTCTTCTGCACTACTCACGACACTGAATTCACACACTTGATTTATTTGGGAATATTAATTCGCGTGGACTATCAAGAAAAACCGTCAGGATATTGTATATAGAATAAAAGTGAAGGAATTAAATCGGTTTTTTCTAGCGCCCTTGAAATTTGTTTATCCTTGAGTTATTGTTTTTAAGCTTCTCCTCAATTGAGATTTTTTAATTATTCGATTATTATTTTTTAATGTATTATTTTTATAAATAACTCACTCAGAGATATCACTTCGCGCCGGCCGTGGAGAGACCGTTGGTGTATTGTACAACGAATAGAAATTAACCAGCGAAATTGGTTTTCTTTAGCGACTTTGAGTTTTCTTAATTCTTGAATTATTATTTTCTAAGCTTCTCCTCTGAATTAAAAATTTGGAGTTATTGGGTTATTATTTGTCAAGGTCCTCCTGTGTGACGCATTTTGTTTCCTCAGTACAGCCGCTGAAGATCCGATTCCCGTGACTGAATGTTTGTAAATGATATACCGAGGGATATCCACTCGCACGGAAGCGAGAAGCAAACGAGCGAAGTCGGCTTTGTCCAGCGTTCTTGAGATTTCCAAAATGTGGAATAAAATTATTTCCCAGGTTCTCCTCCTTCGGTCTGGTATGTTCTGCTCTGCTCTGTTCTGCTCTGTTCTGCTCCTTTCCTCTCTTCCCTGCAGCCTCCCCGATTTCCTCCGCGTAACTGAATGATCCCACAAAATTTCCTCAGTGATATCAACTCGCACGGACCTTAACGAGAGGCCCCTCATTAACTTAAATTTCTAAAATATTCGGTTGAAACATGAAAATTTGTGATTGGTGCGGCGATTGGAGCCAATCAGGTGAGACTGCACTTTTAACCCCCACCATGAGCTTTTCCGCCAATCACAGATTTTCACGGCTCCCCAACAATCTATGAAAGGGACTGCAGTTCGGGAGACATTTCAATCTGCGGCACACTTCGAAGATGCAAGGATGGCTGGAAGAAAACAACGTCGTACGGTTTCCTGAAAAATTAAATCCTCCACTACGGCTTCACAATCCACTCCCTCAACGACCACCAGACAGACGGCGTTGCTGTGAACTAGAATTTCGACAATGAGCTTCAGGATCGAAAATAAAAATGTGTCCACGTCAAAACATTCTCCCACCGCAGCACCTTCACTCAAGGTCGGCCGCCGAGCGTTGAAATAAAGAAGAATCGTGCCTTTAATTTTAGATGTGTATCAAAACACAATGGGATAGCTTCAATTATTGAGTTTTCAATTTGCGGACAAATATTTATGAAATCCTCTAAACACGCACAGTTTTAATGTAGTTTTATCTTAAGTCCGTTTTCAATATTTTTTAAACCCTTGATGTTTTCGAGATATCTCAGTCTTTATCACCGCAGTGTAGTCGGAATTTTTAAGTGAAATTTTCTAGAATTTTTCATGGACGCGACCAAATCCTACCTGCACTATGCAATGAAAAAGACGGAGCACTCTCCTCTCATGAAATATTCAGGTAAAAATTCAGTGACACATTAAACTTCATCCATTCCCCATTTCTCCATCCAATAAATCATAAATTTATTGGGCTCAGCGAAAAAGGAAATAGAGACAGCTAAATTATAATTGCAATGTTGCGATAGTATTCGTTGTCATGACTATCACGAAATTTGCCATGTTGATATCAGCCGGGGGTCATCACGCTATCTCATCTCCCAGAACGATGTTTTATTATCATCAATAATAATACCTGTACCTATTTTTACTTGCAGATGCCAATTATCTACTCAGTTGTGTGAGAGATGACACAGTGAAGTTGCTTGATCTGCGTATGAAGCAGATTGTCGGATCATTCAGGTTAGTCGAGTGCAATTGTCATTTACATCGGGAATTATCATTGAAACTGAACCGACAAAACCGATTCCATAGAACTCAATTAACGGGAATTGAATGAATAATTTTGTGGAGTAACCTGATCACTCGATAGAGACATACAAATAAACATGCAATTTTACCTTAACGTGTGAGTTGCGCAGAGAGTAGAATCGACATTAGTGCTCATTTAAATTTCAAGGACACTAATGTGTTATTGTATTATGATACAATTACACCTCAATTGGAATTTGGAGCGAAAATGCGCCCTTTCAAGCCGAACTGTCGTACAAATCGAGGCGTCGAACGCGAATTCACTCGTTCTTAATTACCCGTTCATTAAAACTCGATAAGCAACTCATTTAAATTACCTGAATTGTTGGTTTTAATTAGCCCGTTAGAGGCATAAAACGTAATTTATGTTTTATGTATTAATAAAACCTTGTTTCATAGAAAATGTTCAATGAAACGTGAACTTTAGGATACAGTATTTAATGGAGTGAATTCACGTTTTCTGAACAGATGTTTTTCCCCCACGAGATACGAATGCTTTTTTAGTTTATTTTAGTCTCATCGTAGTAAACGTGAATAAAAATAAAATATTCAATAAAACTCAATCCCATTTTAAACCCATTAATAAAATACTGGACTTTTCTAATTAAAGTCTTGGTTCGAGGACTTGAGAAACTTTTACAGAGTTTCAAAAATCTTGACCTTCTATCTCAGGAATTCCTCAAGTTTTTTATTCGAAATTCAAAAATCTTCGTTTATGATTTGAAAAAATGCTCAACCGAAGCAATCAAAGTAATTACCGGCTTTCAAAATCTCCATTCCAGTCCTCCAGCAGTAAACATAAATAAACATAAAATACTCAATAAAACGTAAACTCCATCATAAACCACTCACCACCGCCCTTCACTCGTCCTACCTGTCTCCTCCACCAAAGACAAGCAATTCTGATTAATTGTTCTTGACTCGAAACATTCAAAAGTCTTGACCGAAGGACTTTTCATTTCGCATTCCCCATAATCTCACAACGAGTCACTCAAAACAGCCTGACGACATCGAATCGTGCCGATACAAGTTGTCCTACACAGAAAAACCACAAATACAACAAACGAAAAACTATTAAATAAGTCTTCACCCGCGATTATAAACCACTTATCGAGGCGTTTGCATTCACCGCTTGGATGTCCCCCCGCAAGACATGACTGATTTCGATAAATTGCTCGACCCACCATAACTCAATAATTATTACCCCTCCTCCCCCCTGTCAAAATATACGATCCATCAAAGAAATGCAAACTCATGATTCTGTTATTTACATTCACATTGCAGTGCTGATGGGTTCAAAGTGGGTTGCGACTGGGCAAGAGCGACCTTCAGTCCAGACGGCCAGTATATAGCAGTGGGTTCAGTCGATGGCTCCGTCTTCATCTGGAACGTGACGACGAATAAAATTGAAACTGTCCTCAAGGATCACACGTGAGTACCCCATTAAAATCCACCCTCACCCTAAAAAAAAAACCAGACTAAAAACCAAATCCACGACGAGCCCATCCATCCTCAACAGGTGCACATTATTGACCGGCATGCGCCCTATCCAAAATAATGATCAATCGATAATCATAAAAGCCCCACAGCATCATAAAAAGAAAGACCAATAAAAAACAGAGATTAAAGAAGAATGAAAATTCTCATATCCATGTATACGCATTGATATCCATATGGAGCGATCATGGCAGACATGCTTTTAGTGCTTTATTACCTCATATATTACCAAGGGATAACTGAAGGGTCCTGCGTAAAATGGACATTGAGGAGTATCCCACAGAAGCATCTTTTCTCATATTATATTATCTAATAAAAAAGGGGAGGAACCAATGCAGATATAATAAAAAAATAAAAGTTGAAAAGAAAAGGCAAGCAAGTGGGTTATGGGCGGGAGGTCAGCGGAAATGGGACACTTTGAATGTTCAAGAGGCCGTGATTCGCTGCTCCCTCTCCACCTCAAGTTGGTGTTCTGATGCGATAAAATGTTCCAGCCGCACATAACTCCGTATATTGATCTACCGCTCTCCTCATTTTTTTTTACTTCTCTTTGCTCCACATTGAATTCTCCAATCACGTCACCACCAGGAGATTCTAATAATGCAACTTGCTCGAGTCCCTGTTGTACGTTGGAATGGAGCAAGACTGGAGTAAAAAAAAGGGAATATACCGCAGCATTAGGGTACAAGATGGGGTAGCCAAACTAGTTTTCAAGCCCAGAAAACTAGCAACTGTGGATACCTCGTGTTACCATGATGGTGCAAAAGCCCCGAGAGTTGGCGTCTAACACGACCTCATACCACTTGACCCTCCTCTAATCCCACCCACTTGCTGCCCACTGTTATCACCAGTTGGACATTACCTTGGTCATCCAAGTGCTAAAGCCCGTTGGCGTCAATGACTTTAGAGACCCACTGAACAGGTGGAATTAGAACTCTGATTGATTTAAATCACCATGGGAGTACAAAGCCCTCAGCTAATGTCTGCCATCGAGTCCCCGGGGTATCTAGAAAGTTTTTCGGTTTCAGTTTTCACCCTTGCTCATTTTTTCTCTTGATTTTAGAACTTTAATTTTCCATTAAAATTCAAAGGCTGGATTTAAGACTTTACAATCGGGTCTAGATATTCTTAAGATTTTAAAAACCGGCGAATTGAAGACTTTCTGTTTGAATTAAACAATATAAAGTCCTGAATTCATTCAAAAATCATTCAAAACTCGGGACTAAATGTAAATCAGCAATTCCGTTGAAACCACACCACCATCAACGAAATTGTTCTGATAGGTGATACTGGTAGCAACAAGGCCATCAGAAAAGTTTTTCTATTTCACTTTCCTCTCTTGCGCATTTCTCGGAACATATTGACATGAATGGGAGACGGCTGGCAGAAGCCGGGGCATTTATACGACTAGGTGTATTGCTTGGGTCACACTAACGTCACCATTGAGACCAGCGTCTCCACTCGAGAAATAGTAGCTAACCGTGTTTCTGTGTCAGTATAGAGATCCTCAGTGGTCCACCCAGGGTTAACCATTTCAAATTTTTTTTTTTCCTCTTTTATTTCTTCTGAGGGAAAATGCACACCAGCCGGTGCCACACATTCCTACTACCCCACGGGCTTTTACGTCTCTCTTTCTTTATCTTATCATTTCGGACACATGCGGGTGGTCTGGTACAAAGGATGTTACGGGTGCAAAAAGTTATACACCGGTGTGGGGTGGGAGGGATCATGGGTAATGTGTGGGGAACTCTGGTGGAGCTATTTTAATTTCAGACGGGTGTGAGACAAGGTTGATGCCTTGAATTGAAATGGATGATGTTGCAAATATTAGTTTGGCGAGTTGATTTGCCATGTCTCAGTGATTGACGTCAATTTTGATGGCAATGTCGCTTGGAATTTAATATCCTTGTGTGGCAGATGTAAATGGTAGTTGCAAAACTTGAATTTTATAAATGATGCACCCATAACTTCGTATTTATAAATAATAATAATCATAAAGTAATAACATATCTCTCTATTTATTATTATTATCATTATTATTTATAGATGAATAAATTATAAATGACAAAAATGATAAATAAAGTGAGTAAAAATCGTCGGGAAAAACGTGACATTGCTCTCCACTGAAATAACGATAATGCGCTCGACTGTTAACTCATCTCGAAAGCCGTGCATTACATGCCCTTTCCCTAGTAATTGAAAATTCATACGACATTGTGACTGAAATTTCAAGAAATTTCCAGCATCACAAGCCAAACGAAGATCCCAGCGTGCGGTCTATTCCTTATCAGGAATGGCATCGCCCAGGATTTCCACGGTGCATAAGAATCACCGGCCACACATCAGATTCACGTTTATCAGGTGCGTTTTCCAAGCCCCTCTCACGCAGTCCAAGCGAATAACAAAAAAAGTTAAAGAAAAAAAATAAATAAATAAAAATGGTTAAGCACCAGTCACGTACATAGACCGTTTCACTGTTATTACTTTTACCCGGAGCGTCGCAGAGGGACGTCGTTGGCTCGTAATTCGTACGTTGGGGGCACTTTGCAAAAAATCGTCCTGCCTTATATAAGAATCTGGCGGGACTAACTTAATAAGCGGCCAGAGTAACCGCCTCCATCCCTGTGATACTGAAACATCTTCCATAACGCGTCTGACGTATAAACAATTCGTTCTAACGTACGCAGGATCACCGAGAAAATGCACACCATCTTTCAACAGAGTTAATTCAACCTCGGTACTGTGTACCACTCATTACTCGTATCACGGAGTGCCCATTCAATTTATAAAAGGGCTACGGCGAAACGTCTCCGCCTCAAATCTCTCTTCACCTAATCGTCTTAAATTAACGCTTATTTATTCCAACGCTTGGCATTATCTTGTATCAATTCACTATAAATCCGACAACTTAAACAGAATCCACTCCCCATCTAATCTTCGGGGTAATCCTACTCTAGCCCTTTATGGAATTATGATACAAGAAAATGGGGGAGAGGGCGAACATTATTTTCCATGGGCAGAGAAATACCGAGAGGGAAAGGATAAATTTCGGAAAATGCATTGCTTGCAGAATTTGTTTAAATTATCACCAATTAATTGATAATTGATAAATTCCATCTGGACTTTGTATTTTGATTTTTTTTTGCTAAATTTTTTTTTGCTATAGTTCCCCTTGTATTTCATTGCTATCCACCAATTTTCTGGTCCGTCAGAAAAATGTGGAATGCTATATAAATTCCGTTCTTTAATGAAAATCCATAAGTCTCTTTTTGTGGGATACATTTTGGGGGAGAAAACCAACCGAGAATATATAAAACAAATATATGAACACATATTTTATATATTTGTTTTGTATAAATTGATCGCGTCGACGGTCAATATTTATATAGACTTCAAAATTGAAAAACAATTTTCATCAATTAATTAACATAATCATTATTGTTTCTCATAGTAGTTGCAAGATATCGTTACCTTTGAGAAATAAACATGTCCAACGGTAATAAATTTCAAGGGTAAAACCCGTAAGAGGAAACCGACCCGCGATCACGACATCTAAATCTCAAATCTCAAACAAATCTCAAACATTTTGACTGAATGCGCGTGTAGAGCACCCAATTAACGTTCAACAATCAATTTCACATCAATTTCCCACAAATGAAAAACTGCCATAGCCCCGACTCACCACCATATCTCCCGGGGAATCCCGCTCTCGTACCAGAAAAATAACCTTAAAAAAAAGGCGGGAAAATGTGAAATTAATTCGGTGAGGGAATAATACGCGTGTTGAGACAGCGAATCGAGTGAAAATGTTTGGGGAATATTGAATAACCGAGATGCTATTTTAAAGGCGTATTAACGAGACTCTCGGGTCGATTCACAGTGAGGTAGAGAGGCAGGGGATTCCCAGTGTCGCTGGATTGAGGTGAAGTGGGTGAGTAGGGTTGGCGCTTCCGTAGCGATTCAGCACCAATAAAAATTTATCTAGCCGTTGAGGAGTGTGAGGCAGAGGGGCCAACCGTACACCCAGATGAAATTAGATTATTCCAAACGGGGCTTTGGAGTACAGCGACGTGGGATGGGTTGCGACAGAAAATGGCGCCCACTGTTGCAATACTGAAAAAAAAAACATACCAATCTTCCTGCTTTGGCTATACACACTTTTTTCTTTACTTTTTATTCATCTCTATGCTCGTTTCGAAACGAGTGTAACGGAGTCTCGCTCGCTGATCAAGGATTCGACGAATTTCATTGTTGTCTCCCAAGAAAGTAACACAGTGATTGGGGGAGGGGGAGGGGGGGGGATGTAGTTTTTTGCTGGTGGGTGGGGAATTGAAGAGAAACGAAAAGAGGATTGTGAAGCAATCGGCATTGGTGGCAGTTTTCTCACGGCTTGACTCGGGTTTCCTCCGGGTGGCGCAATGATCGCAGGTCCACTGCGATATTATGTCATTTATCTTCGTCCCAAGTCGTATCCCCTGCCCTTTCTGCTATCTCCTTTTATCTGTGCCTTTAGACTCGTTCAGGAAGTGAAAAAAGGGAGATGTGAGGGGGGACAGGAAGACGCTTAGGGAGGAAGTATCCAAAGGGACATTCGCCGATGTCGACGTTTCAGAATATATACCACCTTGTGAACTTTTGAAATGGCAACCCGTGGGTAGGGTGAGGGATAACGATAAACTTCGATTGAAACTCCTCCTGACCCCGTTTGAATTTGTCAACTTGGTGATATAGTTGGGATTGAAGAGAATAAAAAAATGTATATCTAGATTTATCTTTTTTTTTTTACATCGGGGTTGAGAGTTTTTTTCGATATATTTTTTTTTCATTGAAAATCCAGAGGGAGTCGAGGATTTTTTTGTTGTGTGACAGATAGCCGAAGGGGGGAGGCTGTTGTCAATAGGTTTGGAATGGAGTTTTGAAGATTATCTCTGCGG